CATGCTGCGTTCTGCTCCATGGTTCCCCTGGGCCTTGCAGGGCTTCGCTTTCAGCCTGCAAAGATGCCCCCCGCCCAATCTTGCAAGCTCCAAGGCGCCTTCTGAAGAATGGTAGCAAACGCTGCACAGACCCTTCTTCTCTCCTCGCCTTCTACTTTGTCTCGCCGCCAAGATGTGATTCACGTGGCACCCCTCACTAAGCCGCTAGCATCCATGTTGATCAGCAACACAGGTTTAAAAAACAAACCAGCATGGAAACCTACGGAAAGCAGCACGGAGGGGAGGCCGGAATCGGCATTTCCTCGCCCAGAGAAGCCACATAGGGAGAAGGGAATTCTTTTGCCAAGGCCCTACAGCTGAAAAGGCGCCCTTGTTCTCATCTACCCAACTCGGCTCCAAACAATTCGACCGCCATAATCTGACGGAGGGAAAAGCGTTAGTGGAACTCTGCCAAGGCTAGGAATTATGGGAGTTGAAGTCCAAGATATCCGGAGGAAATCAAGTCTGGAGGGCTGAGCTACGCCTTTAACACAGGCCTCCCCAGTCCCAGGCTTTGATCCCCTCCGGTCCCGCTCTAATGCTCATGAGGACTAGCCCCCTCCTCTTGTTTTTCACCGGCTTAGAAATGGCTGTGGTTATGGGATGCTGCTCGAGACAAATTCCAGAGGGAGAGAAGGGCACAGCTCTCGGGGCTGGGGTCCTTAGCGCCTCGAAGCTCCCCCACCCCAAAGTGTGGGCAGGTGGTCTGTTCCAGTCCTGTAGTGCAATAATGCTCCAGCAGGGGGTGCTCGGAAGCTATTCCCAGATTACTGGGTGCAAAAGGCTTTTGGAATTCATGGGGGGGACAGCAAGCCCCGCCCTTCAAACCCATCTTTTCATCTGGCCAACACTGTTCATTAGAACAAAGCCACAGGAGGAGCAAAGATCGCCCTAATTCTTCCTTACTTCCTGGGTCGACACTTCATGCTCAACTTGATATTGGATTAACCTATTTTCTGGGGCTGCAGGATACAATGAACCATCGACTGATGAAAGGGGGATGGGGGCAAACCACACATTAAGCTACCAAGCAACCTAAAATTAAAACCAGCCGGGCTTCAGGCATGCACAATTAGCGGCTAGAACTTTACCTGGGGAAACATCAGACTGATGCTATTCTCAGAAATACTAACACCGTCCCTGCAAAGTGGGACTGAGATATGAACTTCTCTGCTCTCCATTCTTAGGGCTCATCTCATGCAGGGGAGCTTCCGGCTCAACACAGAACTGAAAAAACAAGGGTGAGCTCCCATGATTTGTACCGAAACACCCTGGAAAGCATCCATTCCCAGGTCCAGTTTCTACATTCTCCACAACCAAACTCTAAAAATCACACTTTGAAACAAAGAAAAAAAGTTCTGCAAGTCAGAGAGAGAATGACAAAAAGGGAATTAAGGAGTACAGGTAGTCCTCAACTTACAACCATTCGTTTAATGACCGTTCAAAGTTACAACGGCACTGAAAAAAGTGACTTAACACTGGTCCTCGCGCTTACGACCATCGCACCATCCCACCGTCACATGATCAAAATTTGGGTTCTTGGCAACTGGCATGTATTTACAATGGTTGCAGCATTCCGGGGTCATGTGATTGCCATTTGCGACCTTCACAGGGGGCTTCCAATAAGCAAAGTCAATGGGGAAAACTGAAGTTGCTTAACAACCGAAGCAAAAAAGGTCGTAAAATCGGGCATGACTTACTTAACAACTGCATAGCTTAGCAACAGAGGTTCTGGTCCCAATTGTGGCCGTAAGTCGAGGACTACCTGTAGCACTCTCATCCCTCAAGGCATTCTTAAGGTATGCTTTTTAGCTACCAGCTGAGTTGTCACTGACGTTCTGCAGGGTGTAATTTTAGTCTCCAGGTATGCACAGACACCAGCAGCCACGAAGTGGCAAAAATGCATATATTTAAAAAGCTGCTTGATGCACAAGTTGGAACTGCACATTCCAGATGGCGGTGAGCCATTCTGCTGGCTAACTGGCTCACATTTTAGTCTCTTCTGTGAAATCGACCACTGTGATTTATAAGCAGCAATGTGGGGCTTCATGGAGACCAGTGTCTCTCAACCTTGGCGACTTTCAGAGGGGTGGACTTCAACTCCCAGAACCCCAGGACAGGACTGTCGGGCAGACACAATGGCGAGGA